GCGCGCGAAGAGCACCAGGGGCGCAAGAACCGCAACCAGAGGGGGACCAACGCCGACCCACGAAATCCGCGCGGACCTCCGATCTACGTTCCCGTGTCTGTTTTTGTGTTCTTCGGGTACCGACCCCTTCGTCACCCAGGGGCGCGCAAACATGGTTAGCGATCCATGGATTTGGCGCGCGGTCGCCAAGTCCACGGATCGGGGGAGCTGCCCTCCCCAAAATGCGGCCGGTGCCGCCTCGTTCGGCGGCGGGAATCCGCGATTTCCCATGGAAACGGGACCCGTCGCTAATCCACGCCCCCTTGATCCATGTTTGCGATCGCCTAAGTCACCGTTCGTCGTCTGCCCCCCTCCACGCGCACCATGCGCACCACGAAACCACTGCAGTCACAACGCAACTGCAGCAGCAGAGGAAGGAAACGTCAGGCGGCCTGGGCGCGCTGCTGCCTCAACGCCGCCTGCATGAGCCCCAAGGGGCTGCAGCGGATTTTCCGTGGATTTCTGCATGGATTTGTTCCCGAAGCGGCGAGCGAAAAACGAAATGAATTTGCGTGGATTTTTGTTTGTCGTCATTCCTGGCCCAAGAGATCCGCACGAAATTCACCTCGAAATCTGGAACGACAGTCTCCAGGACACCCCGGGCCACCCGCTCGTCATCCGAGCGAAATCCGCTCTGCGATGGTGGCGCCATGAGAGCAATGCAGCCGAGCAGCAAGTCCTGTCCTCAGAGGCGTCATCGGCAGATGACCTGCCTGGCCCATCCATTGGCCTTCCTGGCGGGTCCTCCCCCCTGGTTTTTAAGGCCCAGTAATACGACTGGCGTGCCGACCTCCCCACCCCCTTCGCGACAAGGAGTGCGTCGCCCGTGCGCCGCCCGTGCGTCAGCCGCCGAAAAGGCCAGCCGTTCTCTCGAACGTGCACGTCGCCCTCGCAGGGGGGCACTTTGGCGACGACCAGGGGCCCTGGTCGTCGCCCCGTCCCTGGCGGAGCCCCGTGCCCGTCGCGCCACCTGGACCCCATGGCCTCCGGTCCCGTGCCGCTCGCTCGTGCAAGAGCTGAGGCACGCATGCCACGCGTCCTCGCACAGCCCGGGCGAGCACCCGCAGCTGCCACGGCGTCCGTGCGCAGCCCGGGCGCGCCGCCCACGGCGGCGCGGCGCGTCGCAGCGCACAGCAGGGCCCGCAGCGACTCAAGCCTCTGCTGCCCCACCTGCCACTACTCCTCCTGCTCTTCCAAGAGGAGGGGCAAGAGAGAGGGAGGGAGAGAGGAAGAGAGAGACACAGTCAGAATGATGCCCAAACATGTGTATACATGTATCGGCTACTGTGCTGCTGGGCACGGACTGGGCGTGTCCTCTGAGTTCCTCTCACACCTGGGGGGTCATAAAGGGGTTCGGAGCCCCTCGGCCCAAAATCTCTTGGGGCGTGGCGCGGTCTGCCGCGAGACTTTTTCGGGCCCAAGAGGGCCCCACGACGGGCAGAAGGCCCCAAAAGCTCTCCAGACGGTCTAAGGAGGCCCCGGGTCGCCGAACGATCGCTCAAGGACGCTCACGGTGGCCCCCAGACGGCCCAAGAGACCTCCAAGACGCCCAACGCCTCCAATAGGCATCCCAAGAAGACACCAAGCGGTCAAAATGATGGATGTTCCTTGGGTGTTTGAAGGATGTTGGCGTTCTCGCCGTTTCGGCTTCCCGACGCTCCCAGGCGGCCCTAGAGGCCCTCAAAACCGCCCTGGGACAGCCCAAGAGGCCTCCAAGAGGGACCCAGAACTGCCCAAGACGGCCCCAAGACAGCCCCAGAGGTGCCTGCCCAACACGGCCCAATAGGGCCCCAAGACGGCCCGCAAAGGGGCACCAGAGAGGGAACACGAACCGAACATCCGAGCCTTCCGCCCCAAGAAGGAGGCCCCAAGAGGCACCCAGGAGGCCCCAAGAGGCATCCAATAAGCCCCCAATATAGCCCCAAGAGGCCCCCAAGAGGCCCCAGGAGACCCCCAGAAGGCCCCCAAACGGCCCCCAAGAGGCGCCCAAACTGCCTCCAAGAGGCCCCCGAGAAGCCGTCCACGCGATCCCAACGAACATCCAATAGGCTTCATGCCCACAACCCAGGCACATTAGACAAACAAATAAGAACCAACATTTGGACGAACCTGCGTTAGAGAGTACCCTCTCTTTCTATTATATATATACATATACATATATACATAGACATATGTTTATATGAGAACGAGGGGCCGAGCAATCGGCCACCGTCTCAGTGTGCGTGGCTGAAGAACAGACTCCGCGGTGCCCGCGACCTGCCCGCAACCCACGCCGCGATCCACCTGCGACCCGCCCGCAACCCACTCGCGACCCCCACCCGCGACCCACCCCGCGACAACCTGCACGCGGCCCACCCGCGACCCCCGCCCGACGCCCGCCCCTATCACTCTTATCCGCAGCTGCGGGGTGCGGTGCTAATTACATAGACGCAGAAGGAAAGAGAGAGAGAGAGAGAGAAAAAAAAAAAAAGAAAACAAAAAAAGCAAGGAGAGATGGCGGCTTCTGGGAAGGGCGGAGCATCTGCCCAGAACAGGCGAGTCATCTGCCCAGGACGCGCCCCTCCTCCCCGGAAAACGTCATCTGCACCCGCAAGAAAGCGCACTCCACATCTTTCCCACTCATCCTCCCTCGTTTTCCCCCCTCCTTCCCCCCTCCCTACGGTAGAGGGCAGACAATCCACCCCGATAATAACCATCCCGACACGCGAAGCCGTTTACTAAACGCCCTCCACTGAAGGAATCGAAAAGGGCAAGGCTGTTTAGTAAGCACCCAAGGCCGTTTAGCAAACGCCAGTTGTCCGGTCCGGGTGGTTCGTCCTCCCTTGATACGTCCCCCTCCGCCTCCACCTGCCCCTCCGCATTGCCCGCCGCCTGCCTCCTCCTTCCCCGAAACTGCTGTTCAACTATCTTTCCACTACTAGCGGTCGTCACCCGGGGGGGGGAGGACATCGGGTAAGGGTAACGCCTGGGCGGGGTGAGGGACGCCGAGGCGGGGGTGCGCCATGATTGCCACACTATGCGCGCGCGTTGACCAACATGTGTGGGGGGGGAGTCCACGATTGTTACCGTTACCTAGGGCGGGGGGGTTGGGGGCGATGGACGCGACAGAGGATAAGAAAACCTTCTCCCCCTTCTCTTCTCTCCTACCTCC